TGTTCCCCACGGATTTTAACCCAGAGGGTCTCCAGCCGTCCACCCGGGTCGCCAATATCGGCTTGCAGGGACTTGCTACCCACCTGACTGTTAATCATCTCCATCACAGCCTGTCAGTTTATTTACAAGGACAGAATGCAATACCGTATCAAAAGCCTTCTTAAACTTTAGGTAGATGACATCTACCTCGACTCCTGCATCTAAGCATTTTGTGACCTGGTCATAAAAAGAAACAAGGTTAGTCATGCAGGATCTACCTGTAATGAACCCATGCTGATTTCCTTTCAGCATTATTTTCCCTACTGGACTCCCACAAATGTGATCCTTAATGATTTTTTTCACCGTTTTCCCAAGGACAGAGGTGAGACTAACTGGCCTATAGTTTCTCGGTTCCTCCCTCCTCCCATTCTTGAAAATAGGGACCACATTGGCCCTTTTCATCCTCTGGGACCTGACCAGAGCACCATGAATGCTCGAACAGCCATGCCAGCTGCTCTCCTATGACCCTGGCCAATTCCTTCAGTACCCTAGGATGAAGTTTATCCGGGCCCACTGAGTTGAACACATCCAGCCCCTCGAAGTGCCCCTTCACTAAGCCTGTGCTAACAGTTGGTGGGCTGGTGTCCCTACTGTGTCTATCTATGGTCCAATTGGGAGATTTGTCTTGGTCTGTGTCTAGGAATACAGATGCAAAGAACTCATTGAAGAGCTCAGCTTTGTCCCGCGCCCACCACGCCGCCCGTCCCCACGCCCCTCACAAATTGCCCTAGTTTGTCCTGTAGGGGTCCTATGCTATCCTGCACGTTCCTTTTGCTCCCTATATACCTGGACTTTTTGTTGTCCATAATTTTTGTCATCAGCCTAAGTTCTAATCCTGCTTTGGCCTTCCTGATTCCCTGCAAGTGTGAGCCAGGGAGGTATATTTCTCCTTGGTAGCTACCCTGTTTCTATAGCCTGTATTCCTCTTTCTTTCCCCTTAGGCTTTACTGGACTGGTTTGAAAGAGCTTTTGTTACAATGAGAAGTGTTTCTTTAAAGAAACATCTATAGAACCAATAAAAACAATAGAGAAGAAATTTCTCAAGAGCACTTACTTCAGTTAATTCTCTATGAAGCATTTCTAATATATATTAGGGAAGGGTTAACTCTTGGCAGTGACACCTGACACCTCCTTTCACAGTAGCAACCTGCCCCCACTCTGGTTTGAGGTTAGGTCAGTGTCCCCCCACCCACTTCCTTTCCCCCCACTTCTAGTGCCTCCCTTACCAAGTGCCTGGGGCTCAGGCAGCATGCACAGCTGCTATCCATGCCACATGCTTCTTGGCCTTTTGGTTCAGATCAAGTGTCTCGGCCTCTTGTGGGCTAAGATCAAGTGGCGGCATCCAAATCCCAGGCCCTCCAGGATTGGGCCTGCGCACAGGATGCCTGCCAATAGATTTGGGGGTATCTGAAGTCCCAGGATGAGAGCCTGGGACAGAGAATGCTTACCAGTTGTAGCACCATACATGGTGTTTAGAATGATTGAGTTCTGCCTGCTCGATCAATATCGTTTTTGGAATGACTGAGTTCTGCTCAATCAGTATGACTTGGAAAGACCTCCAGGATTGGGCCTGCGCACAGGATGCCTGCCAATAGATTTGGGGGTATCTGAAGTCCCAGGATGAGAGCCTGGGACAGAGAATGCTTACCAGTTGTAGCACCATACATGGTGTTTAGAATGATTGAGTTCTGCCTGCTCGATCAATATCGTTTTTGGAATGACTGAGTTCTGCTCAATCAGTATGACTTGGAACTGATTTGACCTGGAACACAAAATATACTAATAAAAAACAAAAAAAACATGCTGCATGTTGACCACCCCGGTCTAAGGCCTTGCCTATGCTTGCCAGCATAGCTCTAGTATCCATCCCCCAGTGGAGATTTAGCTTATTCTGACTAGCTTAAATCAGTTCCTTCTGAGCGAATATCTTTTCAACTAGTAAAACCATAGACAGTAGGGGTTTTTGCCAGCCTAGCTTTATCCAGTTAGGAGTATTTTTTCCTTAGCACAGCTGAGAAGAAACTTAAGTGGAAATCACTGCACACAAGTTGTGGCATCATTTTAAGCAGACAAGATTATTGATTACAGATGCAATATATCTTTCATCATGGCACAGGAACAAACATTTCTATATAAGCAAAGCAGACCAACTGTTTTATTAACTTACTTTGGACAAAGAAGTTGGCTAAGTATTTAAGAAAGCAGATGTCTCAGAAATGCTTTTAAAAACAGAGTCAAGTTGAACCAAGCAACTTTTTTTAGTTGGCATCTGAAGAACTTTTAATATAAATTTTTGACCCACAAAGATTCCATCTCAAATTCAGATTGTTACTGTTTACAGAAGATTAATGATCACAAACAAAGCTATGAATCTGTGAAAATCATGTCATTTTTACCATAAGGTTAGCTTTTGGGTCCCCCCACCCAAGAGTATGTCCTCCCCAGAGTAGGCACTCCTTCAAAAATAAGCTAACAACTGTTTTGTAATGAAAGCAAGATTCATGTGTTTCAAGTTAGAGGCAGAAAGTATATTTAAAAAAGACCTCAAATCTCAAATACTGTCAAGACATCATTCATCACAGAATTTTGCCCTTTAGTTCCTTACCCACTTTGTTTTGAGATAATGGAAAGAGGAGAAAAAAGAAAAAAAAAGAAAATTATATCAATAGTGAAAACATCTGGTAGTTCTGCAGCTCTGTATCTGAGAGATACTGGGCATGTCTACACAAGACGCTGACTGTGCAGTAGCACTGTGTGGCAAAAGCCATGCCAAGACACTAGTGTGCAGTAGTATTAGGCTACTGCACAGTAGTGTCACTTAAAAGGCATTCGCTGGTGCTACTGCACATTTATTTACATTGCTTATACAAGTACTAAATAAATGCACAGTAACCACTGCACAGTAGTGTCGTGTGTAGATGCGCCCACTGTATCTGAGGCCTAAGTAGCAGGTCTCCTGTCATTCACCATTAAATAGTTTTCTCTTTTAGAAAAGCAAGGATGTTACTTTAAAAGCAAACAAACAAAAACCCTAATTAGCTGTGTAAAATTAATGGCCCAATAAATCACTTGAGAAATGGAGGAGTTAAAATTGTGATGCATCACCTCAATTCTTAGGATTTTTTGTCCCATAATTTGTGACAAATCTGACTTTTAAAACCAGAACTGTTCATTTACTTTGAACCAGAAACTGAAATATAGGAACGTTCTCAATACATTATCTAAAACTGTAACTTCACAGTACATACAAGATCAGCACAGACTAAACAAAGAATGTCCGTTACCGTCATAAAATCACTGCTTAGTATTTTAGAGCTGAAACAGAGGTCAGTAGTAGATGTCCTGACTGCTTTCGTTTGGAGAAATTATTTAGATAAGGTGGGAGAAACCTTTCCTTCTCTGCAAGTAAAACAATTTTTAATGAGCTACTTTACTTAAATAGCAATCTTTATTTCAAAATGACATTATAAAAAACTAAAACTAAAAACATGGCGATTTTTTCCTGGGCCTTCACAGTCACTGATTTTTTTATTACCAAATCTGTATTGCTACAATACAGATCTGCCATTTCCAGTATGATTATATTGATGCAAGTTTGCCCAAATGGCCTGTAATCCATAAATACATGAAGAAACGTAACAGCTGTAAAGCTAAATGCATGCAACAGATTCTACCAGGAAAAATACCCTGAGAAATAAACATGAGTGGAAAACAAAGTTATCTAGCTGCAGGTGTCTGGAGTTTTGTTCAGTCGTCTTTGTCTTTTGCTCCATGTTTAAGGATGCGCGTGAATTCCATGTAATTGAAATTGCCCTTTTTGTCTATTGGTGCCTCTCTGTACAGCTCATCAACTTCTTCATCTGTAAACCTGTCTCCCATTGTTGTCAGCAACTCTCTCAGGTAATCTTCTTGAATAAACCCTAGAATGTAATATAGATAGGGAATCAACTAAGAAGATTTGTTTGCAGCAAATCTTCCAAAACAAGAGTGTCAACAGTGAGGGGGTTCACAGTTATATTAAAGATAATGTATGCCATAATAGACTGCTACAGACACACATTTACAGTAAGAAGCCAGAATAAATTTTTAGGGTGTTACAAAAGGTTCAAATTCACTAAAAAAAAAAAAGCAATGAAAAAAAACAAAACAAACAAACAAAAAAAAACTTACTCTGGTGCAATTTACACAGATTCCTAAAGAAGGCCATTTACAGAGATATACTGCATAACGAAAAGGTGGTTAAATACCTTAAACAGAATTAAAAGGAAAAACAAGCAAGTTGCGAAGACAAAAACAGAGTCACTTGCTTTTAGGATCACATTTGTCTTGACTTCACTACTATATTTTTTATCTTGAATAAAGAAGTTTCCTCTGGGAACTGATACCCATTCTGTTACCACTGGGTATTTATTTGGATATAGAGGAAATCAACGGCATGTGCCTAGGAAGAGGGTTTATAACTGAAAAAATACTTTTAGACAGGACTGAGCAAGTTAACTCAGGAGGAAGAAGGGGAACAGAATGGTGGGGAAGCCAGGGAAGATGGGAGAACTATAGCTATTTATCTTGTGATAAAAAGGGATAAACAGAAGAACGGAGGAAATTGTTAACAGAGGTACAAAAATGTGAAGTCAGGGTTTTGGATCCTGAAAAGAAAATTCTGTTAATTTAACTGAAGCAGATGAGAGCAACTGGCTGCCAAATGATTCCAAAGAAGTTCAGAGAATATAACGTACAAATAGATGCCAAACTGATTGTAGAAACAACCAAAACTCGATTAAATAGATTCCATTTTAAAAATGGACTTAACCTCAGCAAGCAACGTTTGGAGGAGACTAAAGGACAAAAAACCGTATGAGCAAAACAACTAGTACATGTAAAAAACTGTTATGGGGTTTAATCTACACTCTGAAGAGATGCATTATATGTGCCAATTAACAGGTTGTTATATCTCCACTTATACGAGGCCTTCATTGCTTACCCAAAAGAAAAAAAATCAGTGTCTCAGTATCTTGCATAAAAGCAGAAGAGCACCACCTTAACAGGGTTAGGGAAA